CCCGAGGCTCACGTAGGCCGTGGCATTCACACCCGCGGGCCACGAGTCTGTGCTCACACAGACTGTGCCCGCTCAGGGCTGAGTGAAGCTGGGGGTGGGGGCGGCCAGCTGGAGGGGGTAGCGCTCGGGTCGGAGCTGGCCAGGGCCGCTCTTGCTCGGGGCCCGGGGTGGCCGGCGGTCACGGGTGACGGTGGGGTCCCGGGCATGAAAGCAGTCTGCCCAGAGGGTGTGGGGAGGAGGACCAGCTGGGGTCTATGCCTCAGACTCGGGGTGGGGAGAGGCCCCTCAAACTTGATTCATAGGGTCTGAAGAACCCGTAGGAGTTGTTAAGGTGGTTTCTAGGGGCCTGATTCTAAGTTTGCCTGGCTCAGACCTGGAGCTTCGGGAGGGAGGCCCCAGGCCCCAACTTTCGGTCTCTTCACCCCTGGACTATGTGGGCAGTGCTGGCGACTGGGGACCGCGGAGGGTGGCCCCCGGGCCTCTCCTGCCCAGCCATCGCCTTGTTCTCTCGAGCTCAGTGAAACCGAGTTCAAGGTGGCTGTTAATAGCTCACCCAACCTTGACATTCTTCTCTGGCCCATGAGGGTATTTATCTCAGACTGGGGGGACCGGGGGAGGGGGCGTTAGGAGCAGCGAATTGGCTCGAAGCACAAGTTTCCTGACTTGTTGGGTTTCAAAAATTGCTAAAACCATGTTCAGATGCCAGGCCCGGACATCTGGGTCTGAGCGGTGAGGCAAGGCCCGGGCATTTTCTTTGATAGAGCTCTGCAGGTGACGGGGGCGGCGTGGGCTGAGACACTTGCAGGAGCTTGCAGGGACTGGGGGGATCGCCCCGTGACACCACGCCACCAGGGCCCGCCGGGCATGGGCCTGGCTCTTTCCGCCTTGGGGTGACGGCCCGGTGGAGACGAGCCCACGCCCGCGGCGCTCTCCTCTTGGGCTTGTCCGCCCTTGCCCTTTCTGAGGAGGATTTGACTCCTCTGGCCTGTGTTTCATTTGTTCTTATCAACATCAGGATTCCTTTACAAAACTCCCCCTGGACGCTCACAGGAGTTGTTACAGGCAAAGAACTGTTTTTTTTAAAGATTCATTAATTTACGTATACAAGAACTGGGGCGCAGGCCAGAGGTGCGCGGGGAGAGGACGCCCCAGAGACAGAGCGGGGAGCAGAACGGGTGGATCCACTGAAACACACCGCTGAGGGGAGCTGTGGGGAGACGGGAGGGGTCTGCTGGGCACGGGGACCCCTCCCTGACCGGCATCGGACTCAGGCCCGTCCATGGCTATTTCCACAGGGTCTCTGCCCAGAGGCCGTTTTGCAGTGCTCACTTCCCGGCAGCCCCCAGGTCAGGATGTGATAAAAGGAGTCTCTTTCCCCAAACACCCTCTGAGGATGGCCTGCAGCGTCCAGCCCCCACAGTGCGGTCTGGCGTCTCCTCCTAGCTTCAAGCCCCCTGGGCCTCCCTCCGCCCGGCCTCAGGCCCAGCCCCAGCTCTCCAGAGGCTGCGGGGAGCGCGTGGGGGTTTGCCTCGCAGCATCATCTCCAGGCCTCCTGTCTCACTGGTGGCTGCGGAGGTGGAGACCGGAGTCCCCTGGGCTCTGACCCGTGGCTACGGCCTGCGAGAATCCTTCCTCGCTGTTCCTGGCCTTGCTACCTGAAGTGTAGGTACCTAGTGTTGACCCTGGGCATATCATTCTCTTTCCTGGTAATGATAATCTAATTCTTTTAGAAGAATGTGGGGTGTAAGGGTATAATTAATAATTAAAATTGACTAAAAAAATCTCGTTGGCTCTCACCCCGAGTCTTTTCTGACCGGCAGCCAGAACTTTGTTCTCTTTCCCACAGACAAGCAACTTTGCTGCCAAGAACTGACTCTTTTTCCCGGAATGCAGAAGTGGTTGTAGTTAACTTTCATTTCCAGTACTTTATTTTGGCTCTTTGACCTGTGGAATAAAGCCCACAGATTTGATGGAAAATATAAAATATAAAATCCCAGAGGCCTGAGCTGTGATAAGTCTATCAGAGGGGTCAGATCCCCACATTTTCTCAGGGAGCAGAAGACAGGGTGGGGGGCTGATCTTTAACTACAAAGCACTGTCCTGGTCAGGCCCCATGTCCTAGAACCCCAGGCTTCCTCATCACGAAGCAGGAACAAGTCTGGCTGGGACGGACCCCGCCTCGATTCAGAGGCCAGTGTGACCCCACTGACCAGAGCCTCGCTCTCCTGACCACTGGTGAGTTGTTGCTCATCAAGATGGCAAAAGGAATCACTTCAAGGACTTGAGCACCCAGGTAGGCCAGACCTTTGGGGGTTTGACCAGCTGCCTCCGCGGGCACAAGGTATGAAATATGCCACCTACCTGGAGTGGGCACCGACAGACGGGTGCCAGTAGGAATCAGTCTGGCTGACTTGGGGGGCAGAAAACACGGGGGCAGGCGGCTGTGGGGCGCCAGGATGGGAGCCGAGGAATCACCACCTGGCTCCTTGAAAGCGTGAACCAACCAGCCACTGTTCTACCAGAGCAGTGATTTGCCTTTGTGTGTCGGGCTTGGGGGCCATCCTGAGCCCAGGAGGGCGGTGTCCTGCTCCTTCCTCGGGCTAGTCCCACTGGCAGACAGATTGGTTTCATTTTCTGTCCCCCCTGCAGTAGTGAGAGTAAGACGGTACAAGGACACACAGAGAATGAAGTTGGCGCCTTGGAAATCAGCCCTCACGGCCCTCCCTGCTGGCGCAGCGGGTTAAAGTGCAGCACCGCGAGCTGCCGCAGCTGCTTTGGTGCGAGTTCGGTCCCGGCCCCGGAGGTGACCCCAGGGCGCGGCAGACCGCTCCTGACCCGCCCACTGCTCCGCTCAGCAGTGGACTTCGTCGGTCTGCCTGTTCTGCTCCCCACTCTGTCTCTGGTGGATCCTATCAGCGCGCCTGCACCTCTGGCCTGTACCCCAGTTCTGTCTGCATAAATAAGTCTTAAAAAAAAAAGAAATTAGTTCTCACATGTGAGTTGCAAACAGCCCTGCCTCTCGCGGGCAACGTGGCATCTGTGGTGTTCTTTTTGCTGCTAAAGACACGGATCTGGATGAGGTTCTGAGTGCCATCAAATTTCACGGGACTTTACCCCTCCGAACCCCCAGCCCCACCCCAAGGCTTCTCGCTCTATGGTGTTGACGTTGAGAGGGGTCTGAGCGGGCGCTGGACTGTCTGCAGACCACGCGGTTAACCCCGGGCGGATGGCCCCCGGCCGAGGTCTCGCCAGGTTGGCTGGGTTTGTAACGTTTGCGGCCTAGGAGATAAAGATTCCAGGATTGCTTGACTGATGTTTTGGGGACCAGAAAATAGAGGCTTCTAAACTGAGAGCCAAGTGGGGTGGACCTCAGGCAGGCGAGGCGAAGCCCGTCAGTGGGGCCGGGCCGGGCAGGGGTCCTGGCTGAGGTGGTTTTCCCAGGAAGCCGCTGGCTGAGGCTCAGCTCTGGGCAGCCCCAGGCTCCTGGCGGCCGTGCTGTCTGTCACTGGTGTCTTCCAGCAGAGGCAGCCGCCCTGGGCTCTGCTCCTTCCTGGGGCGCACGGCAGGGCCACGTCCAGCTGCCATGGAGACCCCGGTGCAGACGGCGGTTCCTGTGCCAGAGGCCGTGCGCAGGGCTCGAGTGTGAGCGCCCACCTGGCCCACTGCCCTGCCCTCCTGTGCCCACGCCTGCCTCCGCCTCTGCCCAGGGCAGCATCTTCCTGGCGCTGCGCCGGGCAGAGCTGGGCTCCCGGGCGGGAGGCTGCCCCTCCTCGTCCCTGACCCCGGGGAAGGCCCCAGCGCCAGGCTTTGGGGAGATGCCATGTCGGTTCCTTTCCCTCCTGGCTGCTTGGCCACCGTGGGGCTTGGCCACCCACTGGCGGCGCGGCTGCCAGGCTCCGCGAGACCATGCAAAGAGGCCACATGACCACAGCGGCAGCTTCTTCCTGGCTGTGCCGCACGTCGGTGGCCCCAGAGGTCAGAGGTGACTTGCTGCCGGGAGGTGGCGACCCCAGGAACAAGAGGGCTGGGCCTGCGGGCAGCACGACCCGCCGCGCCCTGGCCTCCTCAGGCACCGCGGTCTGGGCTCGCTGGAGGCCGCAGGCGCTGGCAGACGGAGCCTTCTAGGAACAGGGCACAAAGCCGAAGCCGCCGCCGGCTTCCTGCGTGGCCTGGGCTCTGGCTCAGGGCCTGGATCCGCAGCCAGGGTGGACGGGTGGACGGGAGGCGCTGCCCCTCACCGCAGGGTCTTCTGCTGAGCTTCCCTCTCCCGCTGCCTCTCCAGGGCCGGCTCTGACGCTGCCCGTCTGTCTGGGGTCTCCGGGCCCTGGCCCACTTTACCGCCTGCTCATCCTCTGGGCTCGGAAAGCCGTTTCTCCAGGGCTCATTTTGAGCCTCCCCACCGCCGCTGCTGCTTTGGGCCTCTGTCCTCATCTCCTTCCTCACCCTGTTCTTCCCCACCACATCACTCACCGCAAGTTACCGTAAACATCCGTTCTCCCCGATGTGAGGCCAGGCGGGGGGGGTTGTCTTGCCCACAGAGCCAACCTCGGTCCGGACCCTGCGAAGGCCGCCAAGTCTTGGGGCGAGGGTGCTGGGGGTGGCGTGGTTACGGCGTTTGGGGCTGCGAGTCACATTATCCCCGTAAACGTGCTTAAACTAAAGCAGTGCGCTGAAGGTGAGTGGAGAGATGAATGTGGGTTTGTGCCTCCTTCAAGCGTCTGGCGAATGTCTCTCGGTCAGGGACAAAGGAACTTGGTTCCGGAGCTACTGAGATGGACACACATAGCCAGGGCCCAGCCACGTGCGTCGGCCTGAAACTCCAGGAAAGGCCACTCTGGGGCTTATGTGTAGAAATCATTAGCTAGTCCTGGAAGGTGGCCGCCTCGACCCCACCCACGCTGGGACCCAAAGCTTCTAGATTCGGGGCGACTGGAAGAACAGGGTTACGGAGGCCATAGATTCCCCCCCACGAATGTTTCCACTTGTTCTTTTCGTCACAGAAATGGCTTCCCTTTTCAACGCCCGAGCATGCAAGCTCTCCAAGCAAGAAGGACAAAGCTATGGCTTCTTCCTGCGCATCGAGAAGGACACCGACGGCCACCTGGTTCGGCTGGTGGAGAAGGACAGCCCGGCGGAGAAGGCCGGCCTCCGGGATGGGGACAGGGTTCTGAGGATCAACGGGGTCTTCGTCGACAAGGAGGAGCATGTGCAGGTGAGGGAGCCCTCGCGCTCCTCTTCCGGCTGTGCAGGGGTCACGTCGCTGATGACCGCAGACGCGGATGCCAGCAGGGCTTCCTCGGCCCCCTGGCGGGACAGGCGCCCCAAGGCCGCACTCCCTGCGAGCTGGCCAGCTGCCCACCCCGCCCAGGTCTGCGGAGCGCCCTCCCTGACTTGAGTGGTGTCAGGTCTGGCGGAGCTTGTTGGCCGTAGGCCAGGAGCAAAGCCGGGAAATGCCGTTTTCGTCATGTGTTAACTCTTCCAGACCCATGAGGGACCACTTACCATCACAGCAGAGAAAGCGGCTCTGGCGGTAACTGAGCCTGCTGACGCACTTACGCACGAACACATGGGTCTGACCTTACCCCAAATTCGTCTGCCTGCAAGGGGGGGTGCTCTTTCCACCACGCTGGGCTGTCCCCCTAGACCCGGAGGAACTTCGTGCTCCAGCATTTATCCCTAGAAAGGGTCAGTCCTTGTAAATGTCCCTGGTCTGGGTGGGGCCAAAAAACTCTAGACATCAACGGTGCTCGAAGCTCTGGAAGCCCCCCAAATTCTGCTGGGTCTCAGGAGGGTGGGGGTGAACATCTGCCGATTATGTGGGTGTTGGGGAGATCAGAACCCTCCAGGCATCCCTGCTGGCAGTCGATGGAAGATTTCTGGTTAGTGACCTTTTCCTCCTTCCTCCTAGGTTGTGGATCTGGTCAAAAAGAGTGGGAATTCGGTGACTTTACTGGTTCTGGACGGGGATTCCTACGAGAAAGCCATGAAAAAACAGGTCAACTTGAAAGAGCTGGGTCAGAGTCAGGAGTTGGCTTCCAACGACAAGAAGCTGCCAGCTGTGATGAATGGAGGTGTGCACGCCTGGACCCAGCCCCGGCTCTGCTACCTGGTGAAGGATGGGGCCAGCTTCGGCTTCTCTCTGAAAACTGTGCTAGGTGAGCTTGAGGATGGACAGCCGCTTTCCAGAAGGAAATGCTGTTGTTGCCTAATGCCTTGAGCGCATTCCTCCATGACTAGGGCTAGCCGAGCGCAGCTTCTCCCTGCCTCCCGGTGAGCGCCGAAGGTTCAGGACATTGGACAGCGGCTCGGGGTGGGCGCGCTGAACACTCCTGCTCGCCTGTGTTGGGCTGAGCCTTAGAGGGTGGATGCTACTTTATTCTTTTCTCACTTCCTTAGGGTGAGGTTGGGGCATAGAGTAGGGAAATAAGAAAAATGAAATTCTCCACATTCGCTACCTTTGAGTAAGAATGGTATTTTTCACTTCTGGGCCGAGGTATCACTCATTTATTCAAGAATTCTGGAGAATTCTGGAGCACCCGTGGCTGCTGGACAGTTACAGTGGCTGAGGACAGCACAGACTCCCCACCCCGTGAGCTTAACGTCGGCCAGCCTTAGGTGTGTCCTTGACCTCTGGCTAAGGGGCACGGAGTGATTTGAAAAATCCCAACCATCAGGAGCTAGAAACCCTGTTTCAGGCCGACTTGCGGTCAGTTGACCCTGGTTCTGTTACGGTTTCTGGGGAGCTGTCGGCCTTTGTTGCTGCTGTGATGTTGCTTGTCCATGTTCTTGCTTGGGAGGTCTTGACTGGTAAGTGGTAAAAAGGAGTTTAGTAGGAAACATACATTGTTCCAACTTAACCTGTAGCTCAGAGATACAGACTCCCATGAGAGGAATTTCTTCGATCTGCCAGTTACGGACAAAGTGTTTTAGGTGATCAAGGGAGCTGGGTGTTTCTTAGACGCCCATGATCAACAAAGTGGCAACAAGATTCAAATTCTACTCATGTGGCTCTTGTGTTCATGTTTATGGTGAGTGCTTCAGATCAATGAAAAAATGTTTTCTTCATGGTAAGTATATAGCAAGGTAATAGGAGAAACATTAGGTGTTTAAGAACACCGGGTTTGAGTTACTATTTCTTATGAATAGTTTATGCCATCATTAATAAGCTACCCTCTGACTAGACTGAAACAGGAATGCCTTGAAAGAATTGACATCATCTCTTTAGGCAGCACCTA